CAGGACAACAAACGCATTGACTATCAATGTGTTCCGGAATTCAGGATAGGATCTATAATCAATGCGTTTGTTGTCCTGTTCCTTGCTCTGGTTTCAGTTGGTGCAGCTCGCCTTCCAGGTTGGGGTCCAAGGGATCAGGATTGTCGTTGGTAAGATACAGAGAGATATGGCCCAAAATAAAAGTCAGTGGCGCGAATGCTACCTGTTGAAATCCCGTACTCCATAAAAAACGATAAGCTCGTACAAAAAGGTGTACAGTGGAACAAACAAAAAATTTCTCCTCTCGCTTTTTGAACTTGACTATCTGACCCCTTTTACACTGCTTTGTATCCCACCCCCGCATTTTCTGTAATTTTTGTGTTGCGCGAGCACTAAGATTGCTTACAAACCGGTGATATATATATATATCCTATTTACAGGTGCTGGGATGTACTCATGCAAGATCAACATCGGAGATGTCAGTTGTGTACCAGACAATCTAGCCCCTAGGAGCCAATTGATATAGCTAACATTGCCAGATGAGGAATTACGACTGTAACATGCTAATACACCACTGCAGAGTGCATTTTGAGAATAGGTGCACCTTAGGTAGGTTCAGTCATCGGGCTTATGGTAAGCATGAGATAAACGGAACCGTGAGACCGCCTACACAAACACGATCCGCGACTGATCTCGAACGTACCGCTTTAAATGCAATCGAATCGTTTCACAAGCGACACCATGAAAGAACACATTATCCGGACAGACACCATTATAGTATGAATAACGACCACCTTGCTCTGAATTATCGGACGGTGGGGCTCGGAGTAATTTCGGTAGCCAAGAGTGAAACTCGCGCAAATCCAAATCGTCTTCGGCGTACGTGTCGAAAAATATTCCATCAAACGGGTGGGAAACTTTGTTCTGGATTTCCGTCGCCAGGTTAGGAATTACATCTTGCCAACGCCCCTTGAGAATGGATACCCCGGGTTTTTTTGACCAACCATCACTTTCTATCTTATTGATAACCTGGAAAATAGGTGAAGTAAAATAGGAATGTTGGCGGAAACGATTAAATACAAGAGAGGAACAGAAATGTTCACTAGAAAATGCTAACCTAATAGCCATACTCAACAAGCGTGACAGCATGAGCAAAGTGTATGTAACAGAACGAACACAGAAGTAGTACTGCATGGAAGAAATTTTGCCCTATTCCCTCACACATACTAGTCAAGATGAGGAGAATGCAACTTACAGTTACCGCTGATATTAAAATTACGAATCATTCTATCGAGACAGCAACAGATACAAATAGCTCATGCTTACACAACTCAGGTTCCCGTCACCTTGAATGTGTACCGAATTCCATCAGGTATACCAATTCGTCTGCGAGTGTTCGACCATCTACCTAAACGGAACCCAGAGGTAGCTTCAATAAAGAGAAGATTAACTCATTGTTGTATGGATTAATATGCTGGTGAACGAATCACAATCGGGCGGTTAAAACCATAGGTCACCCCAACGCCATCGATCGTCAGCTGTTGGAGAATAGATGTTCTTGCAACCGGATCATTAGTTCGTTTCCGTGAGAACCGGAATGCTGCGAGGGATGCGCGTTGGAACAAGAAAAGCACTCAAGTATTCGGGCACCTGGCAATACCACACAGAAGGAAACCCACAGATTCCGACGGGTGGTGAAAATCTGCGTTCTACTGGATGAGATTGTTTGCAAGAAATCAATAGGATGTTTAAAAAATTGAGAAAACGTCTTAGGATGGCTTCTGGAGTGTAATGTTTCCCATAAAATTCCATGTTGGAGTGTTGGTGGCGCAGTGGTGTAGTAACACTATTTGATATCTCAACGCCATTCCCTCGATTCATGTCAAGACCCTATTTTGTTTCATCGCCCTCTATTACGAGCTCGCATATGACCTCGAATATGGCACAATTTCCAGTGAGTTGTATCCGGCGCTTTACCCTCTGTGCATCTTATCACTGCAGGTCACATAAAAACTGTCAACGGTCGTACCGAGTTTGTTCTCAATCCGATCTCTCTCTGGGAAACCTTGCGATAAGCCCGATCGATACAATTAATGAACACGTCATCGCTCAGCCCGTCTTCGGTGCTAAAGTGAGTTAGTCGCTGTCGCCGGTGTGCTTTGGACCCTATGGTTTTAGGTTCGAGGCCAGCCACTGCCACCCAACTTTTGTGGTAGGCAGCTTCGCTTTCCTTCGGTTCAATATCACACCTAACCTGGCGGGGCCTTAAGTGGTTGGCCACTCCAAGTCCCGGGGCTTAAGCTACTGATTTCAATCAATGAGCAGCAGGACTTCTTAACCATAGGGTTGACCCCGTTTGCTGTTCATTACACTGAGGTATGCAATAAAAAATGTCGAGCAGAGTCGGTAATTTGGAACGAAATTTGCGAAAAACGCACAAAGTAATATGGTGAATGAAATGCAAATAATGAAGAGCTATACGGCTGTCATGCCACTGCATAAAAATCGACGCTTAGCATGGACTGAGGCATATGCAGCCTAAGCAGACAAGTAGGAAAGTGGTAAAAAATAGTTTTCATTGCGTGGACTATCGGAAATAGTAGTATCATGATATTGACAAAGAAAGTATGCTCAAAGGAGCAAGAATAAGAGCGTAGTTTGGGAGGCCTCCTCGACCAACAGTCAAAGTTAGCTACGTATAATTGAGGGAACGTTAGATTCGTACGTTGCAACAGTTTTTATTCTTATTAGACCTATTTGCAGATTAAGAAATGAAACCACAGTTCAATATGATAATGCTTCTGTCCACAATAAAACATGAGCTGTTGAACCGCAGGATCAGTGATTCAATGGCAAGCTAGCGACCCACATCTAAGCCCAATCGATAGATTTCGGAGATGTACTTACCCAAGGTTTACCAGTCAGAGGAATTAGCGGCATCTCTCAAGCCAGAACAGGAGCGTAACGATGAAGGGAAAAATCACAGGCATTTTCAAAAGTATACCGAGACGCTTTGAAGTTCTCAAGCAACATGGCAGTTTCGCACTACTTCGAATAGTAATGATGGGATTCGTCTGAGAAAAGTTTCATATTTCTTGTAGCTTCATATTTTGTCAGTCTTATATTTTATATCGCAATGGACATTCGGTCCTTCAGACCAGATACAATTTTGATAGAGAAAACTGACGAGATATCTATATTTTTTCGACGTACTGCGTTTATTTTCTGCGAGCATCCGGTTTAACAATATGAATTCATATTTATCCGCCATCAGCTTTTAATCATGTTTTACTCTTCTGCATCTGTTAACCAAACAAAGAATCGGAGCTCAAAACCAGTTCATCTTCCGATGGGGCATAAAAGATGTACTTGATGAAAATTTTGAGTTGGCTAATAAACTAATTCAAGAACCTAAACTCTTGCCTCTACAAAACGGACGCTTCCTATCGAAACCTTCTCATGGGGAAAACGGAATAATTTTGATGCAATATCACAGCTGGGCTACTTGAGATCCGCACCGGCTTTCAAATCCTCTGCAATTGTACCTTTGCAGTTCATCGATAAGAATTGATTTGGACAGAAAATCTCACTTCTGGATGCGCTTCGATGATAACATGTGAATCTGGTTGGTGTTTCTGAATCTCCTCGTCCACGATACCCATTCCGAAGCCAACATTGAGTACACGTAAAGGAGACGGTTTGTTCTGCCGATCTGCATAACAGATCCACGCGGCGTGTTTAGTCATCAACGGACGCTCCCAGTCCATCATCACGGCAAGTTCGGTGCTTTTATCGACCAGACGATGACCGTCCGGAGTGAATTCTAATCGACTGGACAGATACGATGCGTTCATTGCGGGTGGTTCAGTTCCTTTGTCACGGGACTGATTCCCATTGCGAGTACAGAACACAGTCGAATCGGCCAGTATCTCATTGCCCGAGGTTCTGGACAAGGTCAATGAAAGTAACAGCTCAGACATGACGGCGTGGTCGAGCAAGACATCTATGCACGCTTGTTGTCCATGTTTGGCCGCATAATCCCCTGCACACATGTTCTTCCGATCGACCGCATTCCACGGCGCGCCTTGCTCAAGCAGATAGCGAACAATATCCACATGACCGGAGCTCGCGGCAACCATCAACACACTGATACCCGTCTCTATGTCCTGAGCGAAAATTGAAACATTTCACGAATGAGAACGATTATCGTGAAAAGAACAATTTGATCATATAAGCGATTGATGAAAAACAATACAAATCGAATCTTGTGGGGGAATACTGATACAACAAGGAGTTTTTACTGGTTTGCGCATCAAAAAAACAGTTTTTCTTTGCAGGGACATGTAATGTTGAGGTGAATACGATCATGGTTGTGCAACGTAAACACCGTGTCCGTATTTGAGTTAGTACAAACACGAAGAACATGCAATGTGGAACAGTTTTTTTCGAATAATTTTCCATATCACAGAAATAATCAGAACTTTTGTCCTGAAGGTGCACTGAGAGGAGTAAAAGTATGAGACACTACAAACTGAATGGATGAATATGATGATAAAAGAAGACAGGTCTACACGAATCCAGGGGAACCTAGCATTGACGCCGTGTTTTGATTCCAGCTAATGGAATCAAAAGTAAAAAGTGACGACGAGCTTTAACAGGGACAGAGCAGCCAGTCACATCTATCGGAGTCACACAGATTGTAGGAATTCATTTAGACCGGCCGATTCGTTTTTTGATTATGAATGCTGATGGTATTTCAACATCGAGGGGGATAATTGAAACTAACCGTGTTGCCTAAAGGCATAAAATGTTTGCAATCGCAGTACGACCATCAAAAGGCTGGACGATACGAGGAGAGACAAACTTGAAATTAGATATGAATATAAACTCGGGTCAAACGGATCTTCTCTGTCGATTCGCTACAGTTTCTGTGGCATAAAATCTAAACGTTAGGACCGGCTACAAAATGATGACGATGTGTTCCAGTGATTGGATAACTGTTACGCCAAATTGAGAGAGTATAGTATCCGTCAATAGAAAATTTCCAAACTTCGTTACTCACCAGCTTCCTAATCTTTCGCATATATGTTTAGTATATAATATCAGAGCTTGCTTGTAGCCATTTGTGGTTCCCGAATTTCCCTGCTAAACCCGTTTTATCCAAAGCCCTGTGTGAATGTTTCAAGTGCACTTGTAGCGTTTTTTACGGCAGGATTTTTTCTATAGCCAAGGAATGATAGATTGCCACCTCAGATTTATGGACCATGGGTTTATCGATACGATAGCACCGATCCTCGGCGTTTCTCTTTACACGTTATCACATTTTCTGGAATGTGGAGGATGACGTCATGCAATTCTCAATAGTTCGTTATATTAGTTTTCCTTTCTTTCCATTATCTTGCACTGATGTTCTCTAGTGGATTTTCCGGAACCCCTAGAAGAACTTCGAGGTGACCCATTGTTTTTGTCCACCATTAGCAGTGTGACACCTTCAGTGGTTTGTCAACCAGAATGCCCCTCCCATCAGTCCACAGGTTGATCCTCATGTATTTCACCATCTTATCTTGACGATTGCTGTCGGGACAACGCATCAAAAAGTCTGAGTATAATTTCCTGGTTCGCCCAGCGTCATTAAACTATTTTCTTGGAGAATTTGCTCGTAGCTTTCACGAAACCAGATGCCGATTGTAGGGCATTAAGGTGAAAGCCTTATTTAGTGGGGAACAGGCTGACTCGCATCACGGTGCTGTTACGACATTCGTCACAGAAATTGCTTGCAAGAGGAGAGCCCACCACATTCTCAGGCAATGTCACCGATTTTCCACGATCGTTCATTCCGATAAGCGCTAGCCACTTGTGCATGACAAATCAGAAAAATAGTTGTCCCCAGCTCACAACTTGGCGGTCGAGACTGTCGGCTGACAGCTTTGCGATCGTATATTTGTGGTACCCTACCGTTTCCACCTACATTCGGAATACATCATTGAATGCCCTCTACTAAGCTGACATTTGCAATTAACTTTGGCCCATTTAGTTCATTTGTTTGGTGCAAATCATTTCCTAACTTGTTTTTCTTACATTTCTTTGCATAT